ATATTGATTTGAAACGAAAGCTTCGAAAACATCAATACGAAGGTGAAGAAGATAGATGAAAAGGGTGGCAAATTTAAATTTAATATTATAGAAACTCCGATTATTAAAAATATAAACAAACCATTTAAACTATAACGATAGAACAAAGTTAAAATGACAGGATGTAAGAAAAAGATATGTATTTTATTAAATTTTAGGTAAAATATATAAGAGGGGACAATCACCCCCTACACCAAAACCAAAACTTTCAAAACTTTCGTTTTGGTAAAAAAAAAAGTTACATAATACAAAAGTTATAGGTTTGGTAATCTGCGTGATCAGATTCACGGTGGGTTTGACAGAAGAAGCCAACTCCATGAAATTGTCGAGCGTGGTTAATGTTTCGAAGAGACGCCTTATGAGACGGTTCCGATGACACTGCTGAACGCAGAAGGGGCAGATTGCGTGGGTGTAGAACGCGGAGGAGGCAGAGACTTTTCAATGTCGGCAATAATGTCCAATGCGATCCCGCCGAGCTTGTAAACGGCGTTGGAGTCCTTGTCGAAGGGGGTTACGCCGCCTTTGAAGGTGTCCCGGCAGGCGGAGTGGTAGGAGATGACGGCGCTGAACTTGAACTTAGCGGTGGTGACGTCGTTCTTGGCGATAGCTTGTTTGGTTTCTTCAATGGCGTCTAGCATGCTGTTGTACTGGTCATCGCAGACGTTGAGGGAATCCTTGGTGGACTTGGTGTTCTCTTTTTTGTTTTCCAGAGATTGGATTTTTCCTAGGGCAGTTTTTGCTTCGGCGAGCGTGGCCTCCACTTCCACGTCGAGAGCTTTTATGGCTGAAAGTTTGTTTTGGGCGAAATGAGGTTTGATTGTATTGGCGCAGAGAGCAGGATCTGTTGTTTTTTGACAGAGTTGGTTGATGTCTTCTTGGATTTCACGCTGGACGATGTGGATGTCGCGGGAGGAGAGAACTGGTTTTGTGAGGAGGAGGAATGATAGGGTTACGAGAAGGATGAAAGAGGTTTTGGGAATGAAATCCATTGTCTCTTCTCTGGAGAAGCTCGTTTGAAGATCAGAGACAAATGGAGAAAGATAAGGTACCTGCGTTTTCTTGCTATACACACACCCACATCTCCTTATATATAATGCATCTCTTCCTCCCATTTTTTGGCATCTCCATTCTTTCTACTATAAAATGCTTGGTGCTCCTCAAACCTTGCTGCTCTTTGCTTTCTTCTATCCCTAACATTTCAAATTCTTTCAACGTAACATTTTATTCTCTATAATAATTATGTCCAATATAAGCCACTAAAATTCTTTCAATCTTGTCTTTCATTTTTAATTAATTAATTAATTACTCTAATGATTAATATTTAATAAACAATTAACGTAAAATATTATGAATGTTTTCTTTAACTAGAGATTTATCTAATTGGTACTTTTATTTGTTATTACTATTTCTATTCACGAAACATAGGTACGATATTAATTTCGTGTTGTTAGCTTTTAAAATATATATATATTATTCACTTACAATTATGTCTAAAAATCGATTATCTTTACTCATGTTTTTAATAGGCTAATTTAGAACATGATACCGATGTTGAATTAGATAGTAGATATATACTACAAATGATCAGTTTTTGGTAGAAAGTATTCTGAAATTAGCTTAGTTAATAGAATTTAAGATATGAATTAATCAATAAAGCTCTAATATTTTATTTGAGTGTATAATTACAAAAATTAGTTTTTATATTATATTATTAATTTAAATTTAAATTTATTTATCATAAAGGTTTTATAAATTTAAGATTTGTGATTGATGTTTTGAAATATTAGGTCTATATTATTTTTATTTTTTCCTGAATCTTCTGGATATTTGATGAATAATTAAATATATAGTATTGTTGGAGGTTCAAGTGTCATTTGAATAATACAATAAATTAAAATCTTCATAATCGTTTTCTGAAAAAAAAAACTTATATCAATATCCTTAAAAAATATTCTAGATATATTTTAGAAAGGCATTATCGTGAATTTGTAGAAATACAAGATATATATATTTCCAATAAAATTGAAAGAAATTGTTAGGGTGTGTATGTGGTTTTATTTTGAAAAAGTGGAAGAAGAAATATTATCGTGCAGATGAATATGAATATTAATAGAATGATTCTAACTACATTATATACAGCATAAATTGTATCATCAGAAATGGTTCATATAAAGTACACGTGGAATTTATCATCTCCACGCAAAGAGGAAGCTCCTAGAATAACACTGGCACACCTGCCAACGACTTCATACACAATTCTTAACGATTTTCCAAATATATGTTTCTAGATGTTCTTTCTAGCTTCCATCAAAGTTCATCTGGTGTGTAATACATTTATAATTTAAGATACGCTTATGATTGATTCTAAATTACTCTATATCTTTAAATTAAAAACTGATTTAGACATTAATTTCTTCATAAAATTCTTTATTATAATAGAACTATTTAATCATTTTTAATTTATAAACAATATCTAAATTAGTTTAAGTATTTTTTTTCTATACAATTAGCTGTTATTTATTGATTTTTATGTATAAATTTATGTAAAATTTATCAAAAGAAACATTTCTTTCCACAATTTCAATTTTAAAAAAATTAAAAAATTAAGATTGAATTTGGTTTTATGAAAATAAAAGACTAAAATAAAAAAATAATATTTATTTATCTAAAATTTAAAATTTTAATTATTATTATTTAGAAAATTGTTATAAATTGTATTGTATTATATTTGAGATTTACTACTTTTAATTCGATAAACAAATTGCCTTGCTGGTTCTGTTGAGAAGTCTACTCGATATATTGAAGATATATGGTGATTTGTGTGGTATTTGTCAATTTGAAAAGCAAAAATAGATTGCCATCCTAATCAATAGGAAGAGACCTATTCCAAGAAAAATAATGACTTCCGAGTATATACATGCTTCAACGAATCTATCTTATGACAATAAGAATTTCTATAATTAAGTAATGGTTTCTGAAGGATTAGTTGGAGGTTAATACCTATTTGGTCCCTCGTTTCGTAGGGTTTGTTCAAAGTTGTCCTCCTTTTTTTCAAAAGTTCATTAACATCCTGCTTTTCGCAAAAACGGTGCACGTTAGTCCTTTTTGCTTACGACGTTAGAAGATTAACGGCAGAGTTGCTTACCTGGCGAAACCTGAATTAGCTGTACAGTTTATTATTACGTGGGCATTCTCATTTTTTTCCTCTTTCCGCTTCTCTCTCCTCCCTTCGCCGCACACCGTCTCTCTCCTCTTCGCCAAACCCTAACACCACCCCTCCATCCTCTACGCCAATGCAAACCCTCCTATGACATCGACACCTTCTTCTCGACAACGTCACCCATTAGAAGACATTGACTTCAACCACCGCCCCCGGAGGGATTTGTCTCCCCTCCCTGCACTGCATTTCTAAACTGTTTTGTTTGTTTTGAGTGCGGGAAGGGCGAGGAGATGGGGCGCGGCGCAGTAGCGGAGAGAGCAGAGGCGTACGGGGCGACGACGATCTTGTTACGACAACGTGAAACACTGAGATTGGAAGATGTTGAGGTTTTTTTACGTAATTATTTATGAGCAATGTGCAATTAAGGATTAGGGTTTGGGAAGAGGGGAAAAGGGGATTAGGGTTTAGCGTGCGATATGATTTCACAACGGAGAAGAAGGAATTAGAGAACAACAGTGCCAATAATCCCGAAAATGCTCATCAAACAATAGATTCTTCTTCTAAGTTAACGTTGGTCTTCACCCTCTGAAGGTTTTTCTCCCTCACTTTGATTTTTTTTGAATCTTGACAACTGAATTACAGTATGAATTGTTAATGATGAAGATGAAGAAGTGTGATAAAGCTTTTGAGTGGAAAGAGGACTGCCACATGGCACTCTCTTATTGGCTTGAACTTGCCAACTAATTGGACTAATTGGACTAATTGGACAGGTCATCTATTTGGCCACCAGAGCAACTTTGCCGTTGTTTTTTAACGCCATAAGCAAAAAGGATCCACTTAAACTATTTTTGCGAAAGTAGGATTTAGTGAACTTTAAAAAAAAGGAAACCAACTTTGAAGATCTTACAAATCGAGGGACCAAAATAGGTATTAAACCATTAGTTGATGCTATTCGTAGACTGTTTTATTGAAAAGTTCATCACTGTTTTCATTGCAAATGTGGTTGGATGTAACTCTATATAATATATATAACTTTTAGCTTAATAATTGATTTCATACTTACTTTAATTATTTTTCATAAATTAGCTGTTAAAAGGTTTACTAAAATACACGTCATAATGAACTATAATGTTAATTTTGTATAATCTAAAAAATCAATTAACATTATTTTTTAAAATTATAAAAACAAAAAGAAACCAGAGAATGCGTAAAGCTGTGAAAACGGGTCACTCCCCGGCCCATCACGAGTTAGGCATTTAGTAAGCCAATCCCAATTTCACTTCCATATGAGTGTTTAATTAATTTTGAAAATAAGAAACTTAAATAATTTTTTCAAAAAAAATAAAATAATAAATATTTTTTTATAAAATTAAAATTAAATTTTAATAAAATAAATAAATAGGTTGGCCATCAACCTGGCCCCACTACATATTCAAACCCCACTCAAAGATATATATGGACTTGTGACCTATTTTAATTCTTACAGGAATGTGTGTCTAACTATACGCAACTTATATATAAAAGTTGAAGTAGGCCATTGGAATGCACCACCTATTAAATGTGGGAGAGGTGATTTTTTTTTCATTTTGTGGCTGTTATTATTTTCTGTTATGATAAGTAGCACCCAAATATTTATTAATATAAAACTAAAAGTAGTTAATATTTACTTTCATGTTAATTAAAGCATTTAATAAGACATATTATTGATTAAAGAAAAGAAATAACAAAATTAGATATTAAATTAAATATTATGATGCATCGTAATAGGCTTAATTCAAAGGAACGAAGACGTGACACTTGTATGACATGTCGATTAACATATAAATATAGCATAGACTTTTCTATATAAATGAAAACACACAACGTGAATTTTTGTTGATAACAAATAAACAAGCAATTTCAAAAGGCAAAAAACACTTTGCCCAACCAAGCAGGAAAATACATTGAAAGCAGATTTTATTTTGCTACCACTTTAGCAAATTCTGAAGAATCAGATTTGCTATATAAGAAAAAGGAGCAAAAACTCTTTTTCTTTTTTTTTCCTGTAAAATGTAGATTTAACTCAGTAATTTAGAACGGCATCTGCATGTTCTTGCACCGTCTTCCATGCCATGATAACGTGTGTTGTATGAGTAAGGGTTGCTCCAATGGCACACCTAATCACAAAAACCCCTCCAACGACTGCATGAGTCATGTAAACAGTGCCCGAACCATTGATCGAATCCAGCAACCTACGGTTGATTCCATTTGCAACATCCTCAGTTTTGTTACCTCCATTGCTGATCTTTGCAACATTCTCAGTTTTGGAACCTCCATTGCTGATCTTTGCAACATCCTCAGTTTTGGAACCTCCATTGCAGATCTTCGCAACTGCTGAAGGTAAAAGCCTAAAGCAAACCACAGCAAGATTTCTAGGCACAAAAATCTCAAACCTTTTGTCCCTTTTCACCAACCCTTCAAAAGTCTTGGCCATTTCAACGTGGCTTCTGAGGAAGTTTCTGAGATTGACAACACCATAGCTTTTTAGAACGAGCCAAAGTTTGAGTGCACGGAATCTTCTGCTCAAGGTTATCTGCCAATCCTTGTAGTCCACCACTCGTTTTGAATCGGTAGCACTGTTCTCCAAGTACACTGTATGTGTCGATAGGGACTTTATCACAGAAGCTGGATCCTTCACCCAAAGGCAGCAACAATCTAAGTTAGTAAGAAACCATTTATGAGCATTGAAACTGAACGAGTTTGCATTCCCAATTCCATCAATGAAGTGTCTGAACTCAGGACAAACGCACACGCTACCAGCATAAGCAGCATCAACATGGACCCACATGCCATATTTTTTTGCAACCATGCACAGTGGTCCCAATGGATCAATGGCAGTGGTTGAAGTCGTGCCCACAGTGACACAAAGATAGCAAGGAACCAACCCATTTTGAACATCTGTTTGAATGGCGGATGATAGTGATTCTGGTGAAAGAGCGAAGGAAGTCGACTTCATTGTCTTGATTACCCTAATATTTTTAGGGTGAATTCCTATTATATGAGCTGCTTTCTGAACAGAACAATGTGTTTGATCAGACACATAAACGACAAGCTCACAGATATTTTCTCTGCCAATTTGGCTAAGCATTTTATCTCTAGCAGCAACAAGTGTGACCAGAATGGCCTCACATGTTGTCCCCAACAACACACCTCCACCACTCCCTGAAAAGAGAAAAGCCTAGGGGAGATTCAGCATCTGGCCTAGCCAATCCATGACAATACTTTCTAGCTCTGTTGCAGCCGGTGATGACACCCAATTGAAGCCTACCAAGTTGAATCCTGTGCTCAGCATCTCACCAGCAAACCCTGCTGTGCTACCACTGGAGGGAAAGTAGGCAAAGTAATTAGGGCTTTGCCAGTGTGTTATGCCAGGAACTATGTGCTGCTGCAAATCTTGAAGAATGGTTTCAATCGGTTCAGGACTGAGAGGGGCAAATTCTGGCATGAGATTTTTAAGGTAACCTGGTTCTACTTGGCTTAACACTGGATACTGGCCAATATTCTGGTAATAATCAGCAAGGAAGTCAATGATCATGTGCCCTTGCCTCCTAAATTCTTTTGGGTCTAAAGGATTCATGATGAACGTGGGATTTTAGCTTGAAGCCTGAAAAACTATATATAGAATAGAGAGCAACTCACAGCACTGCGTCTGATCAATCTTTTTATGCTTGGTTTCATAGTCATTCTGTCAATACCTCCTCTTTTTATATAGCACAATATAATTTCTTTAATATACTCATTAAATTATAGCGTCATATATAAACTTCTTCCCTTGATATTCATATGCAACTGGCTTTTTTGTCACAGCCGGATATAGCTCTATTTAAGCACTAATTAAGCACACAGACATAAAAATACAAACTTTCTACTCTCAACAGGTAGACATAGATAACATACGTTATTAATTTCATTCGGGATATTAATTACATGATATGTTAATAAATTTTTTTAATAATTTTTTTATAATAAATTATGTGCTACTATTTTCTTATGCTTTATTTGCTTCAAGTGTCACAGTCAGAGAGACCTATTCAAGTAATCGCTACCGCCTAATAATTAGACTTGGTGATTTAATTTTGCCGACTAACTGATTCACTTTTCAGAGAAGTCATTAAAAATGTATAGTTAGTTGAAAGAATTAAATGATTTTATGGCATCATCAGAGACACAATGTTCGTTTTTGTTTCACAGTTGTAAAATTCAATATTTTTTTCTTTAGCTCAGTGAAAACTTTTATGCTATTTCAACCAATTTTAGTACATGTGGGTAGCTAGAAAATTTATGCATACAAGAGATGGACCTAAACATTAATGGTTTAAATGTCAAGCTTTATGGTTAACTATGGATTTAAGGTTCATTATTACTCCTATTTCTAACATTTTCTAAATACTATAACTTTCTAAGTTAAATGATAGTAATAAAAATCATTTTTTTTTTCATTTATACTCGTATTTGCATTAATTTTTAATTAAATTTTTTTATAGTTATTTGCTTTATTAATGTAAAATTAAAGATGATGAAAAAAAAAATAAATATTTTATTTAACTCAATTGTTGTTAGTATAGATTTTTTTTAAATAAGCATTAAATAACACCTTAAAAGAATAAAATAAAATATAAGGGACACACCCTTAAATTGCCGCAGCATACAAAAAATGTACCGTAAAACATTTAATGGTTTAAATGTCAACCTGTATGGATTATCATGTTTCTAACATTTTTTAAATGTCAACCTGTAAATCATAGCATACAAGTCATTCTTTATTTTTGTCTTTTCTTTTTACTATTTATTTATGGGGTCTTTTTTTAGTTTGGCCTTTTATTCTTAATTAATTTTTACGGTTTAATATAATATTTTAATTAAGATTTGTTATAATTAAGTTTATTTAACATGATATACAAAAATATATTAAAAATGACTTTTTAATTATATAAATGTGTTTTTAGATATTTTGAAGTGTATTAATATAATTGAAACTCACTTAAACTCATTAAGAAGTGAAAATAAATTGAGTAGAATGTTATAACACCTTAAAGATAAATCTAATAATAACAAATAATCAAGACTACAAGAAGTTAATCAAATGATGAATAAAGATTTATATTGAATTGATGTGTAAAAAAAGAGAGCACAACATAAAAGAAAAAATACTAATTAATACTTACATATAATTGATGTGTAAATCAACATTTAGGGATAATATGTTTGAGTACATTAAACATTTAAGATATCTTTCAATTATTGTGTTTAATATTTTTATCTTAGACAGTTTATTTGTTAAATGTTATTTTGTTTAAATGCTATTTTTAAATTTTAAAATGAAAATTTGTTTAATGATTTTGTCTTAACGTTATAAAGGTGAAAGATGAAGGTGAGGTGAGGAAGTGAGAATGACAGAGAAGACGGATGTTGAATAATATGTTGTGGGAGGTCTATGTGTGTGGGTTCCATTATTTATTTATTTATTTATTATTTTTCTTATTTATTGTGATAAGGTGGAAGATGAATGGAGATGATGTTGATTTGGGTGTAGATGAAAAAGCGTGGCAGAAGATGTAATGAAGATGGTACGTGAATGAACAATACTCAGCTAAAACCAACTTTAATTCTGACATTCATATGCATGAGTTTGAAAGAGCCATCATGAACTTTCATACAATTTAGATGCTCCAGAGAAAAAAAAGCCAAATGTTTCATTGTATTTATTTTAAACATTTTCAATTTTAGTTGTAACAGTGACATTTTTATTTTTATTTAAAATAAGTATTTTCAATTTTAGTTGGTGCACACCCTTGAAACAACACCTTTAAACAACAACAGAATTTTCCATTAAACCATTTCAAATTTGCCATTGGGTCCAAATACACCTCACTTCATAAACTTCTCTTCTTCAAACAAAGTAATTAATAATATTACACCTTACCTTCAAATGACAAATCCTTCCCATAAACCAAAATCAATTAAGCGGGCGAACGGCCTCCACCACAGCTCCTCCATCACCACGGTCGCCGGCCACCACCGGCACCACCACTCCGACACCCACCAAGTGAATGTTGTAGGCCAATATTTTTTTCCTATGCTCTACTAAATAGGTACTTTACTAACTATACTATAATAATAATAATAATAATTAATAATAATAAATAATATAATAATAATCATATAATATTTAGTATTATCATAAGTAATAAGTCCATGACCACATTGAACTCCCATAGCTGGCCTGGTCCACCACCAGTCCATGTCGAAAATAGGCTTGACATGGTGAGTCCAATGTATTGGTTGGCGCTAGTAGGTCTAGGCACATGATTGGAAAAACCCTATTGCCTGACCACTGAGGTGGGCACCTCAGCCTGGGCCAGGGCCAATTGGTCTGTAGCAATCGAATCTGTGGAAAGAAGAGATGGCCCCAACACACCCATAAACTGGGTCTCGGACGTCTGGCATTAGCCTCGTACACCATGCTACTCCCGTGCATCCCACTCTTGATGCATCGGTAGGTCCTGAAAATAATAATTCAAATTTTTATTCCGTCTATTTTTTTTCCATTTTATTTTTATCAAATGTGTTATTCATCTCACATTGTTACTTTCTTTCTTTATTGAGTGAACACAGATAAGCATAATATTAATATAAATAAATGGTAAAAAGAAAACTATCGTTTCTGGTTTCCAAGTACAATTGGTGCTTCATCTTCCCTTGATGTAGGTGGCAACATCACGTTTCCCATTCCCTTGGCTCCCCCAATACCCAAATTAATGAAAGAAATAACAAGTTAAGTTTTTCAAAATTAAACAAGGTTAGTTCTGCTTTCTATCTTAAACAACTATCAATCATCAGTTACACCCTACGCGTATCGCTTAATTCAGTATGTTTTTAAGAGAAAGAAAAAATTTAAAACAGCTTTAATCAGACCATCATTAAATGTTAATCATTCATCACACACCGACAGATTGAAGTTTGTTGACTATATTTGAAAAGAAAAACAACATATTAGGGGCGTTTTAGGTGTAGAAATTTTGCGAAAGATGTGGTGGGAGTTTAACTTTAACTTTAAAACACTTGAGATGCTTTTTTATTAAATTTAAAATTACAAAATTTAACAGACGTGAACTTTGAGCGGCAAGACAGTGTTGTCATCTTTATCAAAACATGAAAAGACAGATTAAAAATAAGAGCAGAGAAAGAGATGATGATGAAAGATAATGCATCCGATCTTTTGGTCTTTCCTTAAACTTTCAAAGGGTTGGGAAGAAAAACCCACGTTGCCTGTGTCTGTAAGTAACTCTTTTTAAATTTTGACTATTTTCTCTCATATATTCATCCATTGGATAAATTATTCTTGGTTCCTTTAGAAGATACCTAAATTCACTCTCTTTATTTCTTTTAAAAATAATGGCTCTATTTAGAAATAGAGTGGATACACTTTTTATATTTTAATGTAAGAAACCATCCTTGGAATTAATTATGAAACGCTCTCTTAATCATATTTGTCTTCTAAAGTTTTTCTCACGATAACTGTTTGTTATTATACTTAAAATCGTGCAATATAAAATTAGAATGCTTGGTATTATTAAAATAATTTAAAATATAACAGATAGACTTTATTTTTAATATAATATTACTATTAGCATATAATAGTTATATATATATATATATAAATATGATTTACCTTTTTTTATACGTACTAAAAAAGTACCTTTTATTCTATAGATCATTTTAATGACTGAAAATAGGTAAATAGTTTATTAAGTATAACTTATATGAGCATATTTATTTTTAGTATAATAAAAAAACGACAGGTTTAATACAAAGGTTTTAAAAATAATTGAAGATTTATTACTTAAGAAAGAATATATAAAAACGATATAATTATGATTGGATTACATTCGAATAATTTGAAGATCTCCTTTCACATGGCGTGCACCCAATATTAGTAGAAGGTGCCTTTATTGATGTCAAAAGAGTGAAATTTTTCAACGACCTTCACTAAGTAAAATGGGGCGAAAGACTGAAAAATTAACTTATAATTTTTTCGTATAAGTTAAATCATAATATTAAAAAATAAATAGGATTTTTTTAAGCCTGCACATTTCTTTTACCTTAAATACGTGTAGGGATGACAACGGGTCGGGCATGGGTATGCCTACCCGCAATCCGACTCCTCGGATAAAATCGTATCCGCTACCGACCGCAACCCGGGTACCCGTTTAAAAAATATCCCGCGAGTATTTTAAAACCCGCGGGTACCTGCGAATACTCTCAAAAAATTAAAAAAATATATTTAATACATTTTAAAAATAAAATTTAATAAAAATCAAATATATATATATATATAATATAAATTAAATGTAATTAAAATTTAACTTTAATTAAATTAAACTAATAAAATATAATTTTATTGTATTTTCATTAAATTTAATAAAAAATATATAATTATTTTTTTTTCATTTTTGAAGGTACCGGGACCGCGGGACGGATAGATACTCCCGTACCTGACTACCACGTTTAGAAGGGGTATTAAAATACCGTCCCGTACCGAATAGGTTATTACCGCGCCGCGAATTTTACCCGCGGGTAAAATGCCATCCCACATGTGTTAGAAATTAATTAAGAAAATCAAAATCTCTTTTAATGTTTGTAAATCTAGAAA